AGAGATGAGCTGGGGGAAGATTAGTTGAGCTGAGATGATGTGATGACTTTTCAAAGTCTCTGTTAAGAATGGGAGAGAAGGGAGAGGAACCAGAGTGGAGCTGCTCACATCCCTGGGATTGAAGGGATGTAAGCGGAGAAAGGGTGGGGGGCGGGGAAGGGATCTGTGATCTCTTCCTCAGGGGACTGCAGCAGGAGAAGAAACACTGCAGTGAAGTTATTCTTATAGCAACCCGTACCCCTGACTTTAACAAATCCATGCAGATTGAGGGAGAGAGGGGAAGTAGAACACAAGACCCTGGCGGATGGAACAGTGGTGCCACATCCAAGTGAGGGGGCAGGGGAATGCAGTTGGGAGCATCGTGGGGTGCTGTCTCTTCAATTAAATCCATTTCTGCAAGACTAAACTGGGCATCCGTAAGCTTGTTCCTACATTTCGTGCTATATAATAAGTGCAGTCTCAACATAGTCGTGGAGCCATGTCAGTAGGCCTTTATGTCTGGACTAATCGAGTCTCTCTGGTGATCGTGCACCTGTTATGGGGCCTCATTTTCCTCTCTGTTGCACCTGTGGAACTCTGGAGTCACTGAAATCAGTGCAGTTCACCTAGTGTGAATTGGGAGTCACTGGGAGCAAAATGTGACCCTCGGACCAAGCCTCAGGGAACTACAGGGAGTTATCACCAAAGGCATATTTAGAAGAAAGGAATCCGTTATGTTGTGTCCATCTAACCTGTGTGTTCAGCGCTCTCCCAGCACCATGGCAGGTGAGCACCAACAGAAGAGGAAGCCAAGATTACTCTGAAAAGTTTCTCCTCCTTTTTGGTGGGAGGTCTGATAAGCAGACTTATTTCACTGTGTTAATATTTGCTCATCCCCATCAAAGCATAGTTTGAGCCCCGGTCCAGTGGCCATGCCAGGAACCCCTCCCACCTGCAGGCTGCTTTGGGCTGGGAAGAAAAAAGTGCACTTCCCAGCAAACTGGGAGTGCTGGATACAGGGCCACTGTATGAGCCCCTGTCCTGCCACCATGCCATCATGCCCCGCCCCCCCTTGCCAATGCAGATGCTTGCCTAGCTGTGGGAGCTGCTATGTGTGAGCACTATGCTGTACTTGCTTCCAAAGAGAAAGCACAAGTGTGAGCCCCAACCTGTCCCTTACCTTGCCTGCCACCAAACTGAGTCCAGCTGCTCCCAGATCTCTGTATTGCACCTCTTGCACAGTGGGCACTTACAAGCATAGTTTTGGCCTTGTGCATAACATGTCTCTTGTCTTGGACAGATAACTCTGTATGCTAAAGAGATTAGATTTTACACTTCACAATGTATCTTCTATAGAGTCTGCCCTTCACTTTTCATTAGAGTGGGTGCAATTGTGAGCCTGCTGCACACTCCTTTGGGCCCGGCTCCTCTGGCTGTTCATCTATCACAGATCCAAAGGTGAAAATGTGGCAGATGTGACATGTTCCAGGAGCAAATGCAATTCACCCACTTGGACAGGGAGCAATTAAGTGAGGGAAGGAAAACGCTGCTGCGGGAGATGCAAACAGAGTGCGAGAACAGAAAAGCGAGCAGAGAATGCCAATTGAAGATGCAGGAGAAAGTCTTGATGTCCATGATGGAGCTGATGATGCCCGTTAGTCTGTGCTTGTTTCATGGCACCAGAACTGGCTTTCCACTGTATCAAGAGGATCTAATGTTGGCAGCATCCTCCAATTGCTCACCTCAGTGCTCACCGAAGATTCTGTTCAAGGCCTCTTCAGATTCTTCCTTGTTTCTGCAGACCCTGGACAGGCTCCAGACATACTGCAGCATAAAGCACAAGCTGTTGGCTATAATTGCCATCGGACTTTGCTGCTGAACAGGTTCCGTGCTGGTTTCCATGGGTATCCTGCTATGGCATCTGCAGGGAAAACCAGGGGAAAAAAGATGCAAAAATATTTTGCTGTTGCGTTCAAGCAGGGGCAGGGGAGGAGGAGATGAGTGCATTATGGGATGCTGACGACATGTACCCAGAACCACCTGCTGCAATGCTTGGGTCCCCATGGGCACTGGGAGCCTTACCCAGAGTGCAAAGTGGTGACGGGAACTGTGGGATAGCTACCTACAGTGCATTGCTGTCAAAGTCCGTGTTAACCACCCTACTGGGGACACACTACATCGAACTATTGCGCACAGTGGAGACATGCACCTTCGACTTTACAAAACTGGGTGCAAAATTCAATCTTATCTCCTAGTGTAGACAAGGCCTCCGTGTGTATCCAGCTACTGGGCTTTGAAGTTTCCTAGTGCACTTTGATCTACTCCACTTTGCAACAAGAGTAGATCAAAAGGCATTAGGGTACTTTCAGTCTGCAGTGGCAAGGTCCACCTGGACAGGTAGTGCCTGGTAGGCTAGCTCCAGGTAGATTTACACCTTTGCTTATCACATACTGACTGGTCACCTAGGCCAGTGGTTTTCAAACTACAGGTTGCAACCCAGTACTGGGTAGTGGGATGTCGGGCTTTGGGTCTCATTGCTGCAGGGGGATCAGGTGACCAGTGTGGGTGCTAAGGCCTGTCCTGGCACTGAAGACTGTGCTGCGCCCTGGAAGTGGCCAACAGAAAGCCTGGCTCCTCGGTGTGTTAAAGGAGAGGGGAGAGAGCACACAGCGTTCTGTGCACTGCCCCTGCCCTGCACACTAGCTCTGTACTTCCATTGGCTGGGAACATGCTGCTGGCTGCTTTTGGGGCAGGAGAGGCAGGAAATCTGCTTTAGCTCTCCCTTTGCATGTCGGACCAGGAGCTGCTCAAATTAAATCCCCTCTGCTCCAGCCCTAACTTCCTCTGCACAAAGTCAGAACCTTCCTCCTACACTCCAAAGCTCTCATCCTCCACCCCACCCTGGAGCCCACACTCTAGTCAAATTACATTGGGCACCAACAATTTCCTTCAGCTGGGTCACGAGAAAAAAAAGTTAGATGACCACGGCTCTAGGCAAACCCTGGCGTCCAAGTTTTAAGACTTGAGATGACGTGTGTGAGGGTGGTAAATCTGTGGCTGACGTAGATCAGAGTATTTTATGGAACTAGTTGATCTCTTTTAAATATGTCCATCGATATTGCTACTGAAGCCGTGAATTCCTGGGTATATGCTAGATGTTTCTTAAGGCTGTTTTGTGGCTGTCCTGTCTCTTATTGCACTGTTTTGTGTGAGGAGTAAGATTGGAAGACAGTATTTTCTATAACCAGAAAAAAGGAAGAGAATTAAGGCGAATTCAGTGTGGAGAGAAAGACAGGAAGCGACTTTCAATTATTTTTAGAAAGTGAAACAAAACTTCTTGACTTTTGCCACCTTGTGCAAATTGTTTGCTCGTTCCGAGATGAAGAGAAATTTATCATAATTCAAATTGAACAAACTCTCTTCAGTGCTGCCTGGTACTGCCTGGTAAGTTAAACGGGGAATGTTTTACTTGGTTACTGCCTGGTCCAATTGGGTTTTGCCTTTTAAAGGACAGAATTGGGTTGTGCTCACGGAAGTTCATGTTACTGTCTATATTTTTGTTAGTCTCTAAGGTGCCGCAGGACCATTCGTTGTTTTTTCAGGGTTTTTTTCAGTTACAGGCTAACATGGCTGCCCCTCTGAGACTTACAGTCCTCTCTCCTGTGAGGAGTGAAGAACATGGGGAAGGCGCAGCTCTCTTGTGCAGCGGTTCTTGAACTATGGGCAGAACTTCCATGGGAGGCGTGGGAATGTGCGAAGGGAGGCGTGAGCTGTGGGGTAGAGCGGGGAGGGGAGCTGGTGTGTTTTTTAAGAGCTCTGTCTGTCAGCCCCAGGTGGCTGTGGCTGGTGCAGAAGGGCTGTGCAAACTTGGAAAGTAGTTATAAAGCAGACAGCTGGAGCCTCACTGCCTAGGCTGGGACTCTCCTTCCCCACCCCACCCCCATCTCAATCCCTCACCAGGAAGCAGCTGGGCTCAGACCTTCCTCCTCTCCACCATAGTCCCTCAGCTGTAGGCAGTGGAGTCTTTGCTGTGAGCCCCAGGATGGCAGCAGCAGGGCAGAAATAAGAGCAGAATTGGGATGCTAAATCTGCTGTGAACAGGGATATTGATGAATATAATTTTTTGCATTGCTTCTGTCATGGCTCCTTCTCCACTCTGGCATGATAAATGCAGAAGTAGGGGCCAGCAAGTGTACCTCAAAACCTTATCTACCAGGCTTTGGTATAAAACTTCCCCCCAAAATCTTAAAACCTAGATTTTGGGAATAAAACTTCCACTGCCACCACCCAAATTAATAAAAAAAAACAGGGGAGAGACCATTAGGGAAAATCTCACCCCTAAAGTAAAAAGCAGGACACCACCATTAACCAATACCATGTGCAGGACACTGCACTTATCCTTGTTGAACCTCATCAGATTTCTTTTGGCTCAATCCTCCAATTTGTGTAAGTCATTCTGGACCCTATCCCTGCCCTACAAGGTATCTACCTCTCCCTCGGTTTAGTGTTATCCTCCCCAATCCATTATCCAGACCATTAATGAAGATGTTGAACAAAAGTGGCCCCCGGACCAGCCTCTGGGTGTGGATAAATCTCTATAATATTATCATTCTCATGTAACTTTGTATTAAGATCTTGTCCTTTTAGACATATCTCTGTTAAGTGTTCTTATAGAATCTCTCTAACATTTCTCCTATAACTTTGTATTAAGAGAAACTTTCCTTTTTATATATATAGCTCTTGTAAGAAAAAAATGTCTTTTGAACTCTCCCCTTTCCTTGATTACCCTGTTGAAATGAATGAGGTATGAATGGAGAATGAAAGGTGAGCACCTCCAGCAGCAGTTGCAAGGGTGGAGAGGGACTGGGAGCCAGATCTAAGACAATACCTGTAAAGTGAACTCATTAAGAAGACTGGACATACAGACCCCTTGGGAGTCCAGCAGCAAGTGCCTGCCCTTGGAAGAACTCCCTTTGAAGCAGCAGTACTAATTGGCTGCATGAGAGGGATAAATATGAGGCATCTTGCAGAGGGACCCGGGGTTTTCGTCTTGTCAACATGGGACCATCGATCTGGATCGGCAGAAGCCCGGCTCCAGCCCTCCCCCATCTAACTCACCTGGCCGGTGCAGTTAGGGGGAACAACTTTTGGTAACAAGAAGACAGAGTGTGCTTGTGTGTGTGTGAGTGCATGAGTGTAATGTGTCATATGCATATGATAAGTATTGATTGATCTATGTATGTTCAATAAATGTGGCATGTTGCCTTATCCCCCTGAAAAAGATCCCGGGTGCTTCTTTTAAGCACAACATGGGGTATTCTGCTCGATACTGGCTGCCAAATAGCCATCAAGCTATTGAGTATACCCACAAGGCAAGCTGCAAGCAGGAATAAAAACCAGACGAAAAGTGTGTGTGTGTTAGTACTAAGATGAATGAAAAAAACATGAGGGCTACTACCGAAATTCAGAGCGCTCTGAAGTTCAGCTTTAACCAGAAATGTTTTACATTTTCTTTACTGTAGAAATGACCTTTGAGCAAAGTGTTTTGGCTTTCTAGATGCTCTGGGTGCCTGTGTGTGAGCACTGAGAAGACGGGGAGAACCATTTAACTGAGGATTTTACCAGCGGTTGTTTCCCATAGCTGTCTGGCTCACGGTAAATGCATCATTACCTGGGGAGAAGCTACTTGTAATCAGAACAGGTTACAGCTTATACAGTTGTGAGACCTGCCAGAATTGGCCTGAGTCAGTATTTCAGAAGTTACAGTTGCTGCCCTTCATCTTGCAGCTCTGATACCCAAAATCCGCTGAGAATGTGCAAAGCTAACAGTGGGTCTCAGCACACAGGCTCTCGTGCTCCAGGACGGTGATGTACAGATTCTGGTCTGTATTTGGTTGTTTTCTGAAATATTTTAATTGGGAAGAGAGGCCTGCTTTTGTGTTCTCAAATCCATTGGGATGATACATAGTATTACTATCATATCACCTCCTACCTCTTCAACAGATTTTGCAGACATTCACTCCTGAGAGTCCTTTGTGAGGCAAATCACCGAGAAATTATGAACCTGGACATTGTATTTCTTTCTCCTATGTAGAAAATATTGCAATTATTCCATATTAATTATTAATAGCAATTTACATTATATTTTAGTTTTGATTCCTGATACCTGGTCATGGAAAACAAAAGTAGAATCAGTGACCTGCTTGTAAGTGCCCTTGACGACCTTTGCCAGGCAGACTTGAAAAGATTTAAAGACAAACTCTCACACTCTGCCTTTGAGGGGAAGCGTCCCATCCCCCGAGGTCTGCTGGAGAACGCTGACAGGATAGATACCAAGAACCTCCTGATGGAATTCTATGGTGGAGCTGCTGCCGTAGAGGTGACCATCAATGTTCTCACTCAGATCAACCTCCGAGAGTCTGCTGCAAAACTCAGAGCAGAAAGTGAGAAAGGTAAGAAACCTAAAGTTGCAAAAGAACCTGCGAGTCTCCCAGAATCTCCCTCAGGGCAGCAGCAACAGGAGCAGAAAGAGGCTGGTGGCAGGAGTGACAAGCTCTGAGTCCCAGCAGGAAGCCAGAGGATACAGAGCAGAGATGCTCAGAGTGGGCCAGAGTCTCTGAAATGTTCCACTCCCTTTTACCACTCAGCTGGCTCAAGGGGAGCAGGGACAGCCTGTAACTCTCTGTCTGAGGAAATCCCCAGTGTGGGGGAGTCCTCAATGGCTGTAGAGCCAAGAGCAGCCCAGAGCCAAGTATCTCGGGGGAGCGGAGGGGTAGAAGTAACCAGGGTGCATCCCCAGCTGCAGCACAGTTTGATGGGGACCAGTAGCAGCAGGCACAAGTTAGAACAGCCTCTAGGCTGCTATAACTTATGCTCGGGCTGGGACAGAGAACCAAGGATCTGTAACTAGAAGCTGATCACAGAGGAGAGCCTGGCCCAGTATGTTATCAACAAACAGCTGACAGGCCCCATAAAACCCTTCTGGGATTCCAAGGAAGAATTTTATCATCGAGGCCATTTTCAAAAATGAAACACAATCAGTGCGATTCAAACCACCAGCAATTTTTCTGTGTCTATATTTGAGACGGGAGAGAGAGGGCACTTTCTTCCCATAACGGAGTGATTAAATAGCGAGCAAACCTGGAGAGCTGCAGTCTCTAAAGTCCCAGGCTGCTTTTTAGTGTCCCACCCAAGTGTGAGAGTCAGTGTCTGTGGGGATCCACTCAAGTGTTGGAGCATGTGCTCTATGATGGTGCCAAATCCAAATGTCATTGGTCATTCCCATTCCTCTCCCCACTATCCCACTGTCCCTGGGACACTCAGCTGGGTTGGTTTTCCCTGGAGTTCCTGGGATGGAACGCTCTAGGGCTGGCAGTGTGGTTCTCCCAGCGGTCTTTAGAATTCACTTCCCTGGACCATCCCCCAGGGTATCTGCACTTTTTGCCTTTGAGGCCCTCCTGTGCAGCTTCAGTAAGCTCTATGGCCCACTACTGACAGGGAGAGGGACACTCGAGGGCATGTGTGGCCCCTCACCTCAGCAGGGACTAGGGCCAGCACGAGGCTTTAGGGGAAATGGTGCCTTGGAAGAATTTTTATTTTGATGTTGTTCTGCCAGCTGCATCTATCCAGGGTGCCTCAAGCCCCTACCTTCATCCCGCAGAAGAGGCAGATGGGCTGTTTCAGCAGCCCCACGGGGGCAGACCATAGTTTGCAGGGCCACTGTACACAGGTTTGGGACAGAGCTAGCTCTCTAGTGGGGTTCTCGCCTTTCTCCTTCCCTCTCCTGCTTCTGCTGTGCCCTAACCCTCATCCTACACATCACCCTTCCCCTAGGTGAGAGGGCTCAGAAACAAATCATGGATCCATTCTGCGAGGGAAGGCAGAGCGGAAGATCTTGTGGAAGCCCAGATCTCAGCTCAGGCAGAGGCAGCTTCCCTACTCCCATCTGGAGTGGAGCAGGTGAGAGATGAGCGGGGCAGAGGATGCCTGCTATGTCGGGCTCTGGGTTTCATGGCTCCGACTCACTGTCGGGCTGAGGGAGGCAGCATGTCCTGGAGGGGAGCCGGGATGTTCCGCCACATGCAGCTCCTGCAGACAGGCTGAGTGCCTGGAACACAATAGATCCTCAGCCCTGCACCTCCTGAAGCCCCAGCAGCCAGGCCGGGCAAGGCAGCCCCCATTTGCCACTCCTCACCTTCGACCCCATCAGCTGCATTGCACCCTGGGGAGCCAAAAGCACCACCACTGCTGTGATCGCTGTGCTCTAGGCAATCGCTCTCCCATAAGGCCAGTCAGGCCCACAGTCTCCTCCAGCCACCCTGAGAGCTGCTGCTTCTCGGGGCTGGTCCCGTCTTGCTCTTCACCTGCTGCTTGCCAGGTTGCTGGGCTCCTCCAGCTCTGAGTGCCCCTTCTGCGGCGTGAGGGAAAATCTGGCACACGCCTACCTAGAATGCGCTAGATTGCAGCCCCCTTTTCCGACTCCTCCGGAACCTCTTGCTAAGGGTTCTGGCTGCACTTTCCCCCTCACCTTTTCCTTTATGCATACCCCATCCATGGCTCCACAAATTCAGAGACCTCCTCGTCAACCTCCTCCAGGCCATGGCGAAAGCCGTCATCTATCACACCAGGAGGAGGATGCTGGAACAGGGGGGCTCTGTGACTGTGGGGCCTATTTCTGCTCCTCTCTAGTCTCACACATCCGGGCAGAGTTCCTCTGGGCAGCGTCCACTGGCTCTCTGGACAGTTTCGGGGAGCAGTGGATGCTATCTGGGGTTCTCTGTTCTGGGTCCCCTTCTGATTTCCTCATTTTAAACCTATGACCCACACCCCTTGACGCAGTTTTTCATCATTTGTCCCCCGTAATCAATTGTATTCCAGATCTAGTTGTCCCTCCCACAAGGCTAGGAGAGAGGCCTTTAAAAGTGGATGGATGCCGTATTTCAAATAGTGACTCACTACAGTATGATACTGCCATCTGCTGAGGGTGATTCAATAACAGTGATCATCCACTCCTCAGAATTAATTTTAGTGATTCTACATTGCAGGGAAGACCCTATGTCCAAGAGTCATTAAGTACATAGGTAGCATGTTTTATGCACAATGCTGATATGCCCAGGTCCTGATAGGAGAAAAGGTGACAACACAGCTGGCTTAGTGTCCAAGACATGTACACAAGAAACAAATAATCAACCCAGTGATTACCTGCCAAGATAGTGAAAGAGTAGGCTGAGATTCCCACTGAAGGCAGAGTTAAGGTTATTTGGAACCATGGATTGAAAAGCTTTCACTCTAATTTTTTAAAATATAATTGTATTTGTTTATTTTTGTAACACTAGTGCTGTTTTAAGACTCATATTATCTACAGTGAAGAGATAGATGAGAACACTAGAACCTGGAGATGGTGATAGGGAAAATTCTGACATTCAAGGTAGGAGATTTTGAGGACAGGAATTGGACAAATGATCGGAGCTTCAAGGTTGCTTAGAAATTGGCAGCTCTAGGTTCTGTCCGTTCATCCTCTTTTGTTTTGTCCTTCTCAGGGGAACATTTTGTGAGCCGGCACCGAGTAGAACTGATCCAGCGAGTCTGCATGGTGGACAGTATCATAGACATGCTGCGTGGCACTGTGCTGGATGAAGAGCAATACGAGAGCATCCGAGCTGAGAAAACGAATCCAGAGAAGATGCGGAAGCTGTACGAGTTCATGCCGAGCTGGAACTGGGATTGCAAAGAGCGGCTTTACCAGGCACTGAAGGCCAAGCACAAGTTCCTCATTGCAGAGCTGGAGAGGAAATAAATACAGTCAATAAAATGAGCTCCCCTTGTACCCATGGGTCTGCACCTCAAGTCTTTTCTCTGGGATACGGATGAGACACTGGCAGACCAGGGGCCAGGTCATGCCAAGTCCCAAGCTAATTCACTTGAATCAAACCCTGAGCTAGATTCCTTTCCCCCACAAACTGGGGCAGACTTTAACTTTCCCTCCTTTTCCCCTCCAGAATTCCAGTCTCTTAGGGGACTGGAACATCCCAGGAAACCATGCGGGAGGGGCAGGCTTGGCTAGCATGGCTGAGGAGTAGTAGTTGGAGAACAGAGTTTTTGGTCAGGTTTTGGAGAGCCTATCCATCCACGCTCCTGAGCTAGATGACTTGAGGAGGGGAAGGTTTCACAGGTTATGCCTAAGGATGGTGTCCTGGAAACATGTAGGGGTTGGGAAATTGATGCTTATGGATTCCCTTTACTTGTAAGGAATGGACATTTAGGAAATGTCTACGCTATGAGATAAAGTTGAATCTACTATGTTTAATCTGGTTATCCAATTTTGTGAAATCAAAGGTCCATGTCTTCACTACGGGAAGAATTGAATATAGTCCAAATAGCGCGTCCCCATTAGGGAATGTACTATCGACTCAGACAGTGAGTTCACCAGGGGTAGCTTTACAGTCTGGGCTATGCTCACAGTGCCTGCTGGGATCCAGTCTCTGGAGAGGGTGGTTATGGGTTCATGTCACCAGCTTTCCATTAGGCACGCGTCTAGACTCTCTCCCCTCACTGGAGATAAAAGTAAGGCCTTTTTCTGCCCTGGTTGCCCATGCAGATGCAAGAACAGTGGAAGCATGAAGACTGGTATACAGCAAACAATCATGATTATGTTAAACCTAACTCTAATCTGTTAGCATTGTAAAGTCAATGGAGATGTGTTCTGTGCAAGGCCAAATGTTTGCTTTAAAGTGGGCACTTTACAGCAGGTCCACAGAGTTCGCAGAGGAGCATCAGGATGCACTTAGATCAGAGGCAGGCAGGAATGGTAAAGAGCCAGCTAGGGCAGGAGCTTCCAGGTGTTCAGAAGGCTGGGATAGGAGAGGGTGGCTTCCCTCTGTGACTGGAACCCATAGATTCCTGGGACAGTGCTTCTTTTCTAGCCAAGGCAAGAGCTTACAGGCAGGAGGGGGAATGGGGCGGGGCAGCTTCCTGCTAGGTTCAGCACACGTGGCCTCCAGGGGCAAGTGCTTCTTTCCCAGTCCTCCTGCTTCACCTTCTTTCCCTCCTCTATCACCACGCTGCCCTCCACGCTAACTAATTAGAACTACCGTTACTCCTCCTGCAATGAGGAGTAACGGTACTTTAGTGTGTACTTTAGGAACCTCCCTAATACCTGCAATGAGGAGTAATGGTAGTTCAAATTAGGAGTTTTAATTCGAACTACCTAGTCCATGCCGTGTGTAGCCACGGGCAGGTAGTTCGAACTATGGGGCATTTAAAAATGGCGGTGCCCGGGAACATGCAACTGAAGCCTGGGATATTTAAATCCCGGGCTTCATTTGCAAGTTCGAATGCCTGCATTAGCCACCCTAGTTCGAACTAGGGTGGCTAGTGTAGACATATCCCCACGCACCTTTGAGTTATGTATATTTGTGTGCATAAGTCCATTTCATATAGCATGGGAGAGGGGGTGTTCATCACAGTGTACATTTAATCTGTTTATTCAGCACTCTCCCAGCACAATGGCACGTGCGTGCCAACAGAAGGGGAAGCCAAGATTTCTTTCAAATATTTCTCCTTCTTTTTGGTGGAAGGTCTGATAAGCAGACTTATTACACTGTATTAATGCCTTAATCTTCATCTTCCTCGTTTGAACTCTGGCTCTTTTTCCTCATGTCACACTATGCCCTAATTTACAACTGGCTCAGGGACAAGCGGAATAGATGGATACTCAGATATGAAGAACAACATCTCAGCTTCACCTAGCGTCTGCTGATAAATCTGATTTTTAAAAAAATCCCACCTGGATACCTTGCTAATCAGCAAATAACAACATTTTTAAAACTCAGCTGTTTCGCAACTGCCGCAGAACCCCACTCCATGACTGATATGTGGCCTTAGGGTGATTCCTAAAGTACACATATTGTGACAGTAGGTGAAGTTTGTTACGTCTACACTGGCAGCTTCTTGCGCAAGAACTGTTTTGTGGAAGAGTTCTTGTGCATGTGTTTTTGTGCAAGAGATGTGCTTTTGCACAAGAGCATCTATGGCAGTATGGACACTCTCTTGTGCAAGAAAGCTCTGATGGCCATTTTAGCCACAGGGATTTCTTGCGCAAGAAATTCATGTTGCCTGTCTACACTGCCCTCTTGCGCAAGAGGGCTTATTCCTCATGGGGAGAGGAACAACTCTTCTGGGAGAAGCCCTGTTTTCCAATGCTAGACTTTAAATTTACTTGCACAAGAATGTGCGTGCAGTGAAGACACCTGGCAAGTTCTTGCGTAAACAGCCTCCAGTGTAGACGTAGCCTTACAATATACAATACCATATAATACAATACAATACAATACAATAAATAATTTAAAATAGTAAAATAGTATAATACTATAATATAATATAGTAATTAGTAATATAATAAAACAACAGCAACTGAGCATTCACATTAACCCTATTTTGAAACAGCAGTTTTGAAATAGGCATTATTCCTCGTAAATTCAGGAGTTATATTTTGAAATAGACAGCGCCAAATGAGAAAATAAGCTATTTCAAAATAGCATTGAAATAAGATACACGATTTGTTATACATATGTCCTTGTGCTCTGGGAAGGGAAGGGAGCTCACTGCACAAACCCCTGGTACTCACAGGAAGGGAGCTAGCATGCAGTAGGGGCCAGTGTCCAGCTGGGATACAGGGCAGTGCAGTGGAGAGTTGACCTCAGGTGTCTGAGGCAGGGGTGGGGTCTCGGGTAGGGTAGGGGTCTGGTCTCCTCAAGCCAGCACTTCATGGCCACGCCCCACAACAACAACAGACAAGTGGAACCCCCTCAAAAATAGCCCCCCAAGCAAGCAGATGGAGACTCTCTGGCACATTGCGCAACTATGTTCCCCCCCACCCCTGTGTTCCTGTGTAGTAGCCCGGCTCAGTTGCAGCACTGAGGTGAGTGAAGGGTTAACGCAGTAACTGCATTTCTGTTTCACTTTCACTTCTGAGTTTTTCCTCATTCAGGGCAGACTCTGCAGGGGGGGTGCATGGAAGCCGGGGCTGCTCGTCCTGGGTCCTGGGCTCTTGTCTCTCTCTCTTAGGCCCGAAGTACTGAGAAAACGGAGGCACAGAAAGGAAGCCGGATCCCACTGTCTGGATGCCCCTGTCTCACAGTAAGTGCCTCAGAAACAAAAGACAGAACTATGTAGCACTTTAAAGACTAACAAGTGCCTCAGGTTCTGTGACTCAGCTCAGGGCCGCTTTGTACCGGCCATCCTTGCTATAAGTCCAAAATCTGTTCCAAAAAACTCATAGTGAAACAACCTAAAGCAAGGAATTTTTTCCCCCATGTCTGACTTCCATTTGCGCAAATTGGGGTGAGGTTTTTTTTCATGTTGTAAGAGTGGGGAATGGGAGGACTTATAGGCTGCATCTAGACTGGCAAGTTTTTCCACAAAAGCAGCCACTTTTGCGCAAAAACTTGCCAGCTGTCTACAATGGCCGCTTGATTTTGCGCAAAAGCATTGACGTTCTACTGTCCGAATTCAGTGCTTCTTGCGCAAATGCTTTGACGTTCCCGTTCGGGCAAAAGCCCTTTTCCGGAAATGTTTTTGCACAAGAGGGCCAGTGTAGACAGCTAAAAAGTGTTTTGCGCAAAAAAGCCCCGATGGCAAAAATGGCGATCGGGGCTTTCTTGCGCAAAACCGCGTCTAGATTGGCACGGACTCTTTTCTGCAAAAAGTGCTTTTGCGGAAAAGCGTCCGTGCCAATCTAGACGCTCTTTTCTGCAAATGCTTTTAACGGAAAAACTTTTCCGTTAAAAGCATTTGCGGAAAATCATGCCAGTCTAGATGTAGCCATAATGTATCAGTTCCTAAAAGTGTCGACGACTTTAGTGCAGAACTGCCATACCGGTGTGACTTAAAGCAGGGACGCTCTGTATGGGTATGTAGGGAATTAGCTCTTCCTACAGTTCTGGCCTGAGGGAAAATGGTACTGGAGCAAACTTTTATTTTGTTGCTTCTGCTTCCCCTTCTCTGGAATGGTACCTTTCATTTCCCTTGGCCTCCATAGGCTCCACCCCAATCCAGTGCCCACTTTGCCATTAACTCCTCTCTTCTTCTGCACTCTAACTCCTACACTCTGCCGCCTGCACTCCAACACCTGCATTTTGCCACCTTCAGCCCAACCTGTGTACTTCCCTCCCTCCTGTGCCTCCAGCATCAGCCCAGCACTGCAAATGTCCCTACCACACTGCTTCCCTGCCCAGCACCCTCCCCACCACACAGACCTCCCCACATTGCCCAGTGCTCCTCTCACAGTCCCCCTACAACTGCGCTGCACCCCATATTCCAGAGGACATTCTGCACCAAAACATTAAAAGTTCTGTACAGTAGACAATATAAGAACTAGGGGCCACCAAATGAAATTAATAGGCAGCAGGTTGAAAAAAAACAAAAGGAAGTTTTTCCTCACTCTGCGCATAGTCAACCTGTGGAACTCCTTGCCAGAGAATGTGGTGAAGGCTAGAACACTAACAGGGTTCAAAAAAGGGCTAGATAGATTCATGGAGGTTAGGTCCATCAATGACTATTAGCCAGGATGGGTAGGAATGGCGTCCCTAACCTCTGTTTCTCTGGAGGTGGGTGACATGGGACGGGTCAGGTGAGGATTACCTGTTGTGATCCCTCCCTCTGGGGCATCTGGTGTTGGCCACTGTTGGCAGACAGGATGCTGGGTTGGATTGACCATTTATCTGACTCAGTATGGCCGTTCTTATGTTCTTATTTTAAAATTCTGTAACTTTTTTTTGGTCAGTTGTAAACATAGGGTACTGGCAGCACTGAGGTG